TAGCACCTTTTCTGGATATTAATGTACAAAAACTCCATTTTTGTGTACTTAATTTGAAGACCCAAATAGAATTTCATCTTACCAAGATCATTCATTTCAAAATTTTCTTTCAAACAAGAAGTGACCTTTTCCAATTCTCTAGGAGTTCCAATTATATTCAAATCATATAGAATAACATCAATTATGATAAATTCTTATTTGGATCTTTTTATGAATACACATGGGGTTAATGGATCATTTTTATAGCACTCTTTCAACAGAAATGTACTAAAACAATTGAAGCACATACAACCAATTTATTTCAATCTACACAAAGATTTATTTAATTTTACCAAATATACTTCACGAGAATTAGAAGTTTGTGCTTCTGGCACCTTAAACCCTTCTGGGATTTTCATATAAATATCATTTCAAGTGAACAATATAAATAAACGGTAAATACATCCATTAGACACATCTCCAGTTTTGCATATGTTGTTAAACTTATAAAATAACTGAATGTATTGCATCAACTACCGGAGAATACGTTTCTTCATAATCAATTTCGGGCCTTTGGGTAAAACCTTGTGCAACAAATATTGCTTTGTATCTCACAACTTCATTTTTCTCGTTTCTTTTGCGCACAAATACCCATTCGTGTCCCACTGTTCTTACTCTGTTTGGTGTACGGACTACAGGTCCAAAAACTTTTCGTTGAGTAATAGAATTAAGCTCTTTATTTATTTCATCTTTCCATTTTGGCCAATATTTTCTATTCATACATTACTCAATATATTTAGGTTCAAGATCCTCATTTTCTTTATAATCGCGCGTGGAACATGATATGAAAAATTATCGTCGACATCTATCTTATTTCGGTTCCATCTTATTCTTTTCATGACATAATTTATTGAGATCTCATCATTTTCATTTTTTCAGGTACCTTATTTTCTTTTGTTATGTCATTGGGCTCTTCTAGAGCTTCATTAATCTTTTCAAGAGATTATGTTTTCTCTTTTGGACCATCAATTGTATTTGCTTCATTTCATTTTCGAGGATTTTTATCTTTGGAACCGACTGATCTTCCATGCTTCAGGCGTGCCTAAGATTCATTTGCAGTAGTATTTTTTTTTTGTTTCCTTCTGGATATCAATTCATACTGGAGTAAGTATAGCTGGTACATGAGACTTTGTTACTCACTTAGGGTCAGTAAATGCTTATGGCAATTGATTTGCTACATTTTGTAAGGGAATTATCTTTTTTATTTCAAGTTCACATTGACTTGAACGAGGACCTAAAACTGAAAGTGACAATTCCTTTCAAGAGATTTTATTTTCCAGCTTCTTTATTTCCCCTCTTAATGTTGGAAAATATGATTCATCAAAATAATAATCATCAAATATAGCTGTAAATAAATCTCCAATTGATGATTTTAAATATTTTACTATAGATGGAGATTCATATCCAACATAAATTCTCATTCTTCTTGAGGACCCATTTTTGTGAAGTGAGGTGGAGAAATGGGTACATAAATTATACATCCAAACATCCTTGGATGGTAAATATTTGGTTCCTAACCGCAAACCAGTTGAATAGGGGAGAAATCATGATAACTAGTTGTCATTATGCATATAAGTGATGTTGCATGTAAAATTTCATGCCCTTATGTTGATTAGGAAGTTTATAATGCATTAGTAATGGTCTTGCAATTAATTAAAGGTGTTTGATTAATGACTCAGCTAAACCATTTTTTGTATGAACATATGCAACATGATGTTCAATAGTTGTCCTAATCAACATGCAATAGTCATTAAAAGCTTGTGATGTAAATTCTCCAGCATTGTCAAGTCGAATTTTCTTAATTGGGTAATCAGGAAAATGTGCCCGTAGGTGGATTATTTGTGCTAGTAATCTTGCAAAAGCGAGATTACGGCTAGATAACAAGCACACGTGTGACCATCTAGTTGATGCGTCAATTAAGACCATAAAATATCTAAATGGTCCACATGGTGGATGAATTGGTCCACATATATCCCCTTGAATTCTTTCTATAAAACTAGGACTTTCATACCCAACTTTATTCAATGATGGACGGGAAATTAGTTTTCCTTGAGAACATGCAACATAAGACAATTCATTAGCTTGAAAAATCTTCTGGTTTTTCAAGGAATGTCCACTTGAACTTTCAATTATTTTGTGCATCATAACTGATCCGAGATGGCCCAACCGGTCATGCCAAACTTTGTAGATGTTATCATACCTTTTATTTTCAATAGCATGAGATTCAATCATTCTAATATTTGTATAATACAATCCGGAGGACAATACATGTAATTTTTCCAAAAAACTTTTCTTATCCGATATCATTTTTGTAATATCGAGATAATTTTTATTACCATCATTAGTTGTTTCAATATGATATTCGTTAGATCGAATATCTTTAAAACTTAATAAATTTCTTGATGATTTTAATGAAAATAATGTATCACCAATTGTAATTATTGTCACTTGTGGTAATACTATATTCACTCTTCCGGAGCCTTCAATCTTGGTGATTTAGACGAAAATAATGCATCACTAATTTGTAATTAGTGTCCCTTGTTGTAATATTATATTCGTTCTTCCGGAGCCTTCAATCATTTTTGCATTACCCGTTATTATATTAACATTTGCTTCTCTAATTGATAAGTAAGCAAAATACTTTTCATTATTAAAAATACTATGTGTTATTGCATTGTCTGCAAGAAATATATCTTCATTATTTCTTTTGCGAATATCCATGTTTCTTTTCAATAAATAAATAAAACATAAGAAACATTCGACTTAGAGAAATAAATTCATATTTTATTAATTTGGGAAGATTGTGACGACACCATTTCTCATGAAACGAATATGACATAAAAACATAATAAATGTTATGAAACAAAACTATACATTATTCTGATCAATCACCATCCATATCACCACTTGTCCCTTATGGGTAAACAAGAAAATCGGCAACATCTAAATGTGTCGTTTCTGGTTGATCTTCATGAATATCACTTTGAATAAAATTTGTTTTGATATTTTATTTTTCTTTAGATTTTAGATAAGTTTGATAAAAATCAACAAAATGCTTTGGTAAGCGGCTTGTACAAGACCAATGATCGGTCACTCCATATCAGTGACAAACATTTTCAACATTCTTTCTTTTTGGCCTTCACCACTTTATCATTAGGATGTGGATTTTTGCTATTTTCCAATTTTTGGTGGTTACTTGTAATCTTGTTATTTTTATGATAATTATGATAACTTCCACGACCTCGGTTAGACTTATGACTATTATGATTATATGATGTTGCATTCACTTCAGGGAATGCACTAGAACCGGTCGGGATTGATTTGTGATTTTTCATCAATAACCTTTTTTTTTGTTTAGCCACAAGAAGACATGAGATTAATTCATATTTATTTTAAACCTTTCTCATGATATTGCTACTGCAGGAGCATGTTAGTAGTATGAAAACTAGAGAAAGTTTTCTCTAGCCTGGTTTTCCATAATGAAGATATAAATCAAAATAAAGACTTGTATGTTAAGGAAATTTTAGTTAATAAATTTCATAAAATAATACGTAATCATTGTACATGTGAAATTAGAAAAAATACATACCTGAAAATAACAAGAGCGATAAAGAGTTAGAGCTCTATGGTAGAGTCGTGCTGATAACGTGTTATAAAATATGATCATATAACAAGATAAATTATAAAGTAAAGAAAGACATGAGAGCAGAGAGAAATTTTATTCCAATACTTGTGATGAAATCATCAAACTTTACAATACATAATATTCACTATTTATACTAGACAAAGAAGATGAAAGGTGACACTACTAGAAAACAACCCTTTAATGACGCGCGGACAATGACACGCATTGATTTATGATACGCATTTTGCGGGCGTCCTAAAAATGATGTCAATTTGCCAAAATTTGAAGAATAGAGGACACATATTTGTGCGCGCCCTAAAATTAGTGTCAATAAAAAAAATTAGATACGCCGAGGGCTCATATCTTAAAACGGGTGTCGTGTGTTCATGTCGCTTTATAATTATTTCAAACGCGTGTCCCATTAAAGTATTTGTACTAATTAAAAACTCCTATCCATATCCTTTTCATCACAAAGAGACGCGAGCTAGGGATTCTCGATTGAAAAAATACAGATCCCTCTTTCTAATTTCCGACTTCAAAGCTTGTATGAAACTGAAATTAATCGATCAAAGGGACGATTTCTAGGGCTTTTTTTCAAGATCCATTCAAAACATATGCTCTCAGCAATGTTCGGTGGCCTCGGCTAACCTGACCTTGCCAACGACCTCTTATTCACCTCACCTCATCGGCGACTACGAATCTTTGGTGATTTAGGGTTGTGCTCGTTTCTTCTAATAAAAATGGATTCAGGCCTCACTTCTCTCTCATAGCGATTTAGGGATTTTGGTACAAGGTATCGACTCTTAGACACCAACGACTTAGGGTTTTTCTTACAAGGTTTGTCTATGCACTTTGATTTCTCGAATGAAGAATCGACAATGCTGGATTTCAAGAAAGCAAAATAGAGCTAATGCTTGTTTCTTTTTGAGTTCATGTGAGTTCAAATATCATATAAGATTCTTTTTTGAGTTCGTCTGAGTTCGAATATCATCTGAGTTAGACAATGTTGGATTTTGGTACAAGGTATCTATGTTTGTTTCTTTGTTTCTTTTTTGAGTTCAGGTATACTTTTATCTCATCTTTTGAATTTATAATTGTAATTTAATGTTTTTTCCTTATCTTTCATGTTTTGCAATATGAATTTGCCCCATATCTGATAATGCTTGATGCATATGAAACTGTTGAATCATGGATGACCAAAAATGACTTGAATCCAAACAAAACCTGCTCATACCTGAAGAAGCTGTAGCACTTGCTTTTTAGGTCATATATATCTATATTTTCTACCATTTTCTCTTGTTTGACTTTTGTTGATCAAGGTTGACCCGAGCTAGTCATGACTGAAGCAGACAAAGTGGAAGACGATGAAGACTTAAGAAAGAAGCTTTGGCTTATGGTTGCAAAGCATGTTGTTGAACAGGAAAAGGGGACAAAAACGGAGAACATGAGAAAAGCAATTGCATTTTTAAAGGAAAATGGTGGTTTATTAAAGATTGAAGATATCTTACCTTTATTTCTAGTTTTTTCACTAATTGAATATGTCTGGATCTGGTAAAGTATTCAAGTATTGGCACTGTTGTGCACCTGAAGATCGATTTGACCTTAGCTGCACTACTTCTCCTCATTCTTCCTATGATGTCTGATACCAAAAGGTTTATTCCAACCCAAATTTCTTTAATTTTAGCTTTTTTATTCCACTAAGAAAATTTTGAATCTTCAATTTAAATTCTATCTTGTTCTTGAAACATATAATAATATGGTTAATTTTTCCCATGTATACATACATTACTATCTTATACATGCTCTATGTACATCTTTGATATATGTTGCCTATCTCATGAATTGGTCAATTTTGCCCTCAACATTCAAATTGATACTTGCTGCCTATCTCATAAATTGGTCAATTTTGCTCTCAATTTTTCCCACATCTTTGTATTGTTATTATAAATTGTTTTACAATTGATTATCTCCCACCTGAAATGGATAAACCTATAGTATTATTACTGTATTTGTCTGATAAATCGCACAAAATTGATGGGGTGCTATATGAATGTGTTTTTGCAGCTGCACTTGTGGATATGGGTATGACAAACACAAGGACCCCAGAGACATTACTTCAAATGCATGGGGTATATCACAAACTGGTAATAAAATAATTTACCGACTTATTGTATTCTGTTACCACATAAACTGATCCTAAACTCCATTTTAGGAAAAATAAATAAATAAAATAAAATAAAATTATTCGTGTTAATTAAGCAATTCCAAACACCCACTTGGTAGCCTATTTATTAACCAAAAAAAAATTGATTTCCCAAAGTAACAAAATAAAATAATGATTAGTTGAAATGGATTGTGATCTTTTAGGTGGACACTTTGGTCCCTCAAAAAGTTGAGGTTTGACCAAGTCAAACAACAATTAACAATAAAAACAAAAACCTCCAAAAATGCCCCTCCATGTTTAAAATCTACGAATACCTTTCGGGGGTTTGAAGTTGACCGGGTGAGTTTCTGGAGTGGCATTTTCGTCTTCTTTCCACATTTTAATTGTTTTGTCTGCTTCACATGTAACCAACCTTGATTCGGTCATATCATAAGATAATGCATAAATTCCAGCCTCACTATCCAATGACCCTAATAAAATTTACAACAAAAAAATAAAGATTTAGTGTAAATTATGTTGAAATTAAATTTTCTTTCAGGGGACGGATGAGAGTGTATTCAAGAAGGCAAGATGCATTAGCAGCTGTCAAAAGGTATAACAATGTCCAGCTTGATGGGAAGCCAATGAAGATAGAGATTATGGGATTAAACATTGTAGCTCCTGTTGCTGGTCTTCCATTGCCAAACAACTCAGAGGGGGTTCCCTCAGGTAGTAGTGCATTGTATGTATCTGCCACCGAGTCAACCGGGGACAGAATAACCTACAATACAAAATAACTCATAACTCAACATATTTAGTGCTTCGCCAATTGTTTTATTTCAGTTCTTGGTCAAACAAATCATATTTCAGACCATTGATCTTTAGCATCATTGTTCTTTTCATGGGTAATGTCATGTATGCAATGGCTTATGACATGAACTCCATTACTTGGTCGTGTATTTTGCTGGTGAGTTCAAAATTATGTAATTTTATTTTGACTTTTGACCTCAAAAGTAAAAACTGACACCTTATATAATTTACAGGCTTGGTTCAGCTAGAGCTGTGAACAGAAGGTATATCAGTGATTGTGTGCCTTTAAAGATCCGAATGCAGGCTACTGCTGGTTTTGTTGGTGCAAGTGCACTTGGAATGGCTTGTGGTCCCGCACTTGCTGGTTTGTTGAAATTCAAATTCAAGTTTTCCAAAACTATCAGGTGCTATAGCTGTGGAATTTCATCCAGGGAGAGGATTGATGGTGGGAATTGAGCTTGTCACTCATCGAAAAGAGAAGACACTAGCAAAGGGAGAAACTGCCATTTTGTTTGAAAAACTACGAGGTATGTTATGTATGAAAACTTTGAATTACCCATTTTGACCTTGATATAATTGTTTTTTATTATATTATTGTGAATGAAGAGCTCGGGGTTCTGGTTGGAAAAGGTGGATTACATGGGAATGTTTTCAGGATAAAACCACCTATGTGATTCAATAAAAGATGATGCAGATATTCTTTCACACATAATACATGTGTATACACATACGTATATGTATACATATATATATACATACATACATATATATATATATATATATATATATATATATATGTATATATATATATATATATATATATATATATATATGTATGTATGTATTATGAATAATACATTAATACTTCTCTGATTCTCTTAGGATTATGATAGTTTGTTCTCTGAACAAGTGCCAACTTTCCATTTTAGATTGGTGGAATTTCAAACACAAATTATTAATATACAGACAGTTGAAAATGAAGCTGCATAGTGGCAAGCAATTTCTTCAGCACTTTCAGTTGGTTGGCTAGACAATGTAGTGAGTTTTACATACTTATAAGTTAAACCACAAAAGGTTAATTAACATATATAATAAATAATAACCATAAAGAGTTAAAAGCATCAATATTGTTTTAATTTTAGGTAAAGTAATTACGTTTGCATGGATCTTATCAGCTTAATCCGCTAGAACTCATGAGGTTTGTATCCAATTACATTGTGAAGAGTTATATATAGCTCAGTGTATGTAGGAGCATTTACGTCATTTCTCATTAAATAGACAGAGAATGGACTTGTGGAAGCAGTTGCTGTTCTAATATCAAAAATGCCACGTATGCGTGTGGATTTACCAGATGGACTTGTGGAAGCAGTTGCTGCTCTAATATCAAGACATCCGCACTGCAATCCACAATGCAACTGGTCCTAGATCCGCTTTATTCGTGCCAGAGGTTTATTTATTTATTTATATTAATAATTTAACCCTTTAATACATATATATAGGTTCCACTTCAAGTTTTGGTTCGAAGACAAATAACTCGGTTGTTGGATCATTGTCTTCAATGTGCTAGATTTTTATACAATGAATTAGTAAAGGTATTATGTTTTTTTCTTTTTCTTTTTCTTTTTCTTTTTTTATAATTCAGAATAAATAAATATTTGGGAAATATTTCAGATCAGCCATAGTTGTCTAGTGCATGAACTACAACGGTTTCCTGTTCTTAAGATGCACAATGGTTTCAGATCAAGACATCCGCACTCCATTGACTATTGACTGACTTACTTTTTTCTATTTGATGCAGAGTCAACTGGGAGGGAAATTGTTAATTTTTCAAAGTAAAACAAAGGGTTGATTGAACAAGAGAAAAGAAAACACCAACACTCCATGGCTAATAAGAATAAAAAAATAAAGATATGAGGCAAAAAAGGTAAAACAAACTCGTATGTATGAATATGATTTGTATGGTAATTAAATTTATAGTGTATGTATGTTTTGGTTTGCATGCAGTGTTTGTTTGGCATCTTGGACAAACTTTATAGCACCTGATCGTCCATGCTACTCTTAATAAACAAATTTAGAGTGTACTTCTTTCATTCATGTTAGTAATTTCTCATTATGATGTGTTGTTTCTTGTGCAATTTTATTTTTAGAAGGTATTTTACTTTATTAAATGTTTAAAGTTACAGGATATGATTCTGGGCACATCATGGAACATTTTAGGGCAGTTAGTTTTCCTCTTGGTGATCCATCAATGAAGTGGCCAACTTGCATCATGTAATAACATTTTAGGGGAAGATGTAGGTATATGTTTTTTTAATGAATAATGTATACATATGTATGAATATGAAATAAAGTTTGTTATTTAGTATGTGATAATCATGTATAAGGAGAAAACAACTTCTATCGACTTGTTTTATCTTTCCATGGATTGATTATTTGTATGACATTAAATTTTATACAATGGATTGTATTTTTTGTATATGGTATTTTAGTTTTTGTTATGAGACATTAAATGCAAATTTAATTTGAAAAATTAGTAAATCTATAAATAATATTTTTTTTAACATTTAAAATTATGATACGCAAAAATGTGTGTCATCTTCATTTACGACATGGCCTTTCTTGACAGGGGTTTCCTTGATACGTATTGTGTGTCATAAACACGCACGTTGTAAGGTTACGACACACAAATGCGTGTCGTCTTACTTATGACAGGGCCTTCCTTGATACGCATTGCGTGTCATAACCGCGCGTCGTAAATGCGTGTCATATATGCACGTTGTAAATAGACGAAATGCAAAAGCATGTCGTCTCTCGTTATGACATGGCCTTTCTTGACACGCATTTGCGCATCGTCTGAACGTTTTACGACATGCATTGCGTGTCGTAAAAAGCTGTTTTTCTAGTAGTGATGTATGATATGAATGCTCATTATAGTGGTGTATAACTACACTCATAAAACTCATAATAATGTTTGCTATAATGTTCACTAATTATGAAGAGTAATGGAGAAATATGAAGAATCCGATAGTCATTCACTAAATAATAATTCATAACATAAAACATTATCATGTTAATTGTAAAATTTATAAATTATCAATATAATGTATGTAATTTGTTAAATTAAATATGAAATACACAACGTAAACCAAAATATCAAACACAATGAAAAAATATTCAAATATTACTTTTTAAAATAGTTAAATGGTTTAAATATTTAAATATAAATATGAATTGACATTTATATGAAACTCCACAACTTTACAAACAATTATAAATATTTCATATAATCATTCATGATCAAATTAAAAAAAAAGATCAAATACATAAATTTTAAATTAATTACTAATAAAAATAGTTAAAAGTAACACAAAACCAATATTTATATTTAATTTTATTAACCTGGATACAATGGGTAGAGATTACTCAATATTTTAATAATCAATTTAGTATAATAATTATTATTTCATAGTTAATGTCAATATCACAATATTTTAAACATAATATATTTCTTTAAATTTTTATCATGTAGTTTAAACAACACAAAATACGGATACTCACCTGGCTGACTAAAAGGTAGGCATTTTACTTGCATAATATATATTTAAAACCCCCAAAAACTTTTCAAATTTCAAGCTAATAATTTATTTTAGTAATTTAAACATGTTATTGAATATGAAATATATAATCATATTAATAGTATAATATTAGAATTATCAATATAATATTCTTAAAATATTAAATGTAAAATCTAATTCAACATGTCAAATCAACTTAAAAAATATCAAAACTATTTATTATAATAATTGATTTATTTTTCCAAATAAGTAGTATTTAAACTAATTAACAACATTAATATTTAAAAATAACTTAAAGTTATAAATTATATTACGCTACCTTACAACAAATGATTGTATTTTAAATAATCATTATGATAGAAATTAAAAAATTATTAGAAAAGTAATTTACAAACTAATTAATCATAAAGTTAAAAGTAACACTAAATCAATAACCATATTTGGTTTTATTCATATCATATTGCGTGTAGCACCCATTAAATGATATGATATGGTTTGTAAATGTTATAATATAGTTCAAAATAATTATGATTAAATATATTAAATTAGGGTAAGAAATTATTATTCCATAGTATATATCAATAACATAGTTCTTTTTGACATGTAAGATCAGGAATCTAATTGAAATAACGATGAATATGTTAGTTTGGGAAGGAAATAAAAAGGAGGGAAGAGAACATTAAGTGTTTAGAAAGCAATATGTTCCTGAAGAAGTTCATCATGTTCATGATGTTCTTGAAGTTCAAGACAAGGGGATTCAATGCGATTCTATTGAAGTTGTGAAAGTTTTTTGTTCAATTGGAGTTCAAATCGATGATTGTTTGTATTCTTGTGATTCATTTGAATGAATGGTATCATATAGAAAGCCTTCAATCCAATAGGTTCAAATGTATCAAACTCCAAAGGATATGATTCAAAATCGCAAAGTTAAAGTTGTCAAGAATGACGCTGTTTTTTATTTCAAATCTTCAATTTCCGAAAAGATGAAGAAAAGTAAGAAGATTAAAAATAAAACAAAGAAAATTTGGGGTTCTACGCAAAATTTATCAATGGTGGTTTGATGCCGAAATCAGTGAAGAAAATTTAGATTCTTAAGCAACAATCATCAAATGTTTTTATGGTATCGAATTCCAAAGCCAAAATTGTTGAAGATTCTCGAATTCAACATGGAGATGAAGTTAGATATTGGAGAAATGAGAAGAAATTCCATGAATGGTATAATGTGCATCCTGGATGGTACAATGAGCAATTTGGAAATTTCTTAATTCCATCCAAGGAACCTAGATCTTCCGTTTTCAATTCGTACATTGCAAATGCGAAAAGGATTTTCAAGGAGGTTTCACAAATTCTCAAATGGATTCCGGAAAATTCTTGTTGAGATCGATACCTCATTTTTTTAAAGATACGAAGATGAATAATCATTGTTTGCTCAAAATTCGAAGCCACTCTTATTTTCGTTTAATTTTTCAAGCCTAATCTAGTATTTTATTCATTCGATCCATAAAATTTGAGTCATTTACTTACAAGATGAACATAATTTGGGAATGAGAACGAAAATCAATATGTAAAGGATGACTTGATTTTCCATGAACTGAAGTCGATGGGTGATTTTTGACTTTGGATGTTTGATTTAGATTTTCGAATCAAATGTTTGAATCAATTCGATTCCAAGATTTGATATTGAAGATGATCTATTGGGTCTCGTTCTCACATTAGAATCACACTTGGGAAGAAGACTCGCAAGTTCAGAACGGTTTGAAGGATGGATCTTTGAGATCGAATCGAATGGATGGACATGTGGATTAGAATCAAAAGTTATGAATCGAGAGTGTGATTTTAATTTTAATTGGCGATAAAACGAAATCTAGACTGCAACTATGAATCAAAAGTTATTTTGATCTAAATTTTAATTGGTTCACTTGGGTCGAATGTCCATAGCCGAAAGCCACAAAGTTTGAAGCACATTGCTGGAGTCGAAAGTCTAGATTGATAGTCGAAAGTGATTCTTGGGATCGAAAACGAAAGTATAAGAATCAACGGTGTCTTGGGATCGATTACTGAGTCGAAAGCCAACTGGATAGGAATCGAAAGATTGGATT